GTAGATCGGAGCATTTTGCGAGACAATAAACGCACGAAGCCGAAGTGCCCCTCCTCACACCCAGGGTATCGACCGCTACCTTTGCATGGCTCAGACGTGCGCACATCTTCACGGCAGGGGCCGTCGAGAAGTAGATCGGAGCATTTTGCGGAACAATAAAGGCACGAAGCCGAAGTGCCCCTCTCATATCCCCAAGGTAACGACCGCTATTTTGACATGGCTTAGACGTGTGCACTTTTTCACGGCAAGGGCCATTGAGGAGTAGATCGGAACATTTTGCGAAACAATACACGCACGAAGCCGAAGTGCCTGCCCCTCTCACACTCACGAGGTAACGACCTGTACCTTGGCATGGCTCAGACGTGTGCATTTCTTGACGGGAAGGGCCATCGAGGAGTTTATTTCGGATCAGTTCTGCGAACTAAGCGCACAAAACAGAAGTGCCCCTATCACACCCACAAGGTAACGACCGGTACTTTGGCATAGCTCAGACGTGTGCACTTTTTCTCGGCAAGGGCCATCAAGGAGTAGATCGGATCATTTTGCGAAAAAAGACGCACGAAGCCGAAGTGCTCTCTCACATCCCCAAGGCAACGACCAGCACCCTGGCACGGCTCAAACGTGTGCACTTTTTCTCGGCAAGGGCCATCGAGACGTATATCGGATGATTTTGCGAAACAATAAACGCACGAAACCGAAGTGCCCCTCTTACACCCCGAAGGTAACTACCGCTATTTTGACATGGCTCAGACGTGTGCACTTTTTCACGGCAAGGGCCATCGAGGAGTAAATCGGATCACTTTGCGAAACAATACACGCACGAAACCGAAGTGCCGTCTCACACCCACAAGGTAACGACCGGTTCCCTGGCACGGCTCAGACGTGTGCATTTTTTCACGGCAAGGGCCATCGAGAGGTGTATCGGATCATTCTGCGAACAAAAAACAGGCACGAAACCGACGTGCCCCTTTAACACCCACGAGGTGACGACGGCTACCTTGGCATGGCTCAGACGTGCGCACTTCTTCACGGCAAGGGCCATCGAGGAGTACATCGGATCATTTGGTGAAACAATAAACGCACGAAGCCAAAAAAGGCACGCAGAATGGACATCAGAGCGATGGCAAGTCCCTGGAAACAGTCGAACAGCGTAGCGCACCCGCGCCCCACAGCGTACTGTGGCGATCGCAGCGTGCCCCCCGCCCCGACGTGCCCCGTCCCGCCCACGCATTACCATGACCCGCCCCCTTTCCCCCCCCCCTAATTCTCAGGAGGGGAAAAAACACACTGACACAATTAATCGTCGATCCCCGGGAAAATATAGGAAAATATGGGAAGTGGGGGGGGGAGACGAAAACCCAGAAAATATGATAAGATATGGGGAATCCTGTTATTTGTGTGTGTGTGTATTTATTTGTGTGTCCCAGGGCCCCTTTACCCTTTCCCCCCCCCCCAAATTCGGGCGGCCGGCAATGTGGGGTGGCCTACATGGGGTGTGAAGGGAAGGGCCCTCAAAAGGGCCTCGAGAGGGCCCCTGCTGGCTCCAGACGTGTACCTCACGGGCCTCTTCAGGGCCCCTTCTTTCTTCACCGCCCAGTTGGGCCCCCCCCCCCCTCTGCCACAACCCACTCGATCACGCCCCCGAGGTAACAGCCGATGCCGTTAACAACAAATCACACCAGAGATAAGCCCCAACCAGTGGATGGTTTGAAAATCCCTGATATGGATATTGAGATCGATTGTGAGATCGACAGTGAGACCGGTAGTGGGATCGATAGTGAGGATGATAGTCAGATCGATCGTGAGACCGATCGTGACGTCGATTCAGTGAGATCGATAGTGAGATCGATCGTGAGAGCGCTTGTGCGATCTACAGTGGGACTCATTGTGAGATCAATAGAGAGGTGGATGGTAACATCGATGGTGAGAACCCGGGAGCCCAGAAACCCAGGAGCCCAAACGGTCTCCAAGGATGTCTCAGGCGATCGAGGCTTTCGAGGCCCCAAAGCTGAGTGGCGGCGGATCGTGCGGTGAGATTTTTCGGGATCTCGGGGTCACAGCACGGTCTGTCACTGCACCGTTGCGAGATCCCGTCAAACCCCATGTCCAGAGGAGGAAGATGTGCCCACGTTTTCGCCTTTTGGGGTCTCCTGGGGAGCCCTCGTCGCCACCGCTGGATTCGCCTCGGAATTCTGGTCAGAACGCACCCTGGGAGAGGTCTGGGGAGTAGAGGTATCCGTACCTGTTGGTGTCCCCACATGTTCCTCCCTTTCTTTCGGCCGCGGCCAAGAGTGGGGTAAGGACTTCATTTTTCGTCATTCGGGGGCGTGCCTAGGGGGTGTGTGCTGGCTCGGGGGCGTCGAAGGCGGCCGTGTGTTCGTTGGGTCCGGGGGGGGGGGGGTCGAGGAGGGGGAGGAAGCTTCGGGGCGGCGCAGTCGGCCCAGAGGAATGCCGGGCAGGGAGCTCCGGCGGTTGAAGGGCCAGCTCGACCGCGCCAAGAGCGAGGGCCCCAGCGGCCCTTGTCGGGGGGGCATTTCCAAGTCAGCGTTGTCGGATCTTCTCTCTTCTTCGCCCCAGGCTCGGCCCTCGATCCGCGAGGGTCCATGATCGAAGCCGCTGTCAGCGTGTTCGGGCGGCCAGGGCTCTACCCATCGACTGCCCCTGGCCAGCCCCATCCTGGGCCCGAGAGCGGTGTATTGCAAAGGCCCCACGGCAGGTGCTGCCGACCTTGTGCACACCGGGCAGCGAGCCACAATGATCGTTGGATGTTGAGCAGGAGCAGGAGGAGGAGGAGGAGGAGGAGGAGGAGGAGGAGGAGGAGGAGGAGGAGGAGGAGTGGGAGGAGGATGAGGAGGATGAGGAGGGTGAGGGAAGAGGAGGAGGAGGAGGAGGAGGAGGAGGAGGAGGAGGAGAAAGAGAGGAGGAGGAGGAGGATAATGGATCCATTTTGGAGGTCTCTTGCGGTCTCTTCGAGCCCTCTCGGGCCATGGGCCTTCTCTACGCGCTATTGAGGCGCCCTCAGGCGTTCTGAGGGCAGTCGTGGGGACCTTCTGGGCGCCTCTGGGGACCATTTTGGGTCATCTTGGAGCCATCTTGAGGCCTCCAGAGCCTGAGGAGAGCGAAACGGTGAGGAAGCTAAAAGCTTTGGAAAGCATTCAGGTTTTGAAATATTCTTGCCTCCTGAGAGATTCCTTGAGAAGCTCTATGGTCACCAGAAGCCGCCTCGTAGCGGACTTGCGGCCTCGTGGAGGCATGTTGGAAGCTATCTTGAACACTTTTGGAGTAGATCTTGGGCGATCCGAGGCTTCCTTGGGCTATTCGGAGGCCTCGGGACGCCGTCTGACGTCCGTGTGGGGTCCCAGGGAGAGGTGGCGCACCCCCGCGCTCACCCGCCACACACACACACAAACCCAGGACCATGGCCTCCCCCGCGGGGGAGGGATCGAAGGGCAGGGGCCTGCGTTCGCCTCGACTGGACGACGCTGCACGATCTCGCTGTGCCTGGCACGCTCTGAGGAGGAGGGCCCGGGAACAGAGGGGGAAGGGCGGCGACGACGACGACGACGACGACGACGACGTGACGACGACGACGACGACGACGACGACGACGACGACGACGACGACGACGACGACGACGACGGCGGCGGCGGCGGCGGCGGCGGCGGCGGCGGCGGCGGCGACCACCACAAGCGGCGAGCACTGTCCAGGCCCGTGCCCTCGCTGCCCGAGCTCCCGGGCGCTTGGCTCCCCCCCCCAAAAACAATATATATATATATATATATATATATTATATATTATATATATATATATTTAAACAAAAAAAACACCGCGGGCGTGCCCCCCCCGCGGGGGGGTGCGCGCTCCTCCGCGCGGGGGGGCGGGGGGGGGGGGCAGCCCCCGCGGGGCCCCGCGCCCCCGCGCGCGCCCGCGGAGGGCGCCGCGCGGCCGAGGGGAGCTCGGGCGCCGCCGGGGCCGTCGCGCGGGATGACGTCGTCGTCGTCGGTCGTCGGAGGAGGAGGAGGAGGAGGAGGAGGAGGAGGAGGAGGGAGGAGGGAGGAGGAGGAGGAGGAGGAGGAGGAGGAGGAGGAGGAGGAGGAGGAGGAGGAGGAGGAGGAGGAGCCGCCGCGCGGGATGTCGTCGAAGAGCAGAAAGTTACCAGCCTCGAACGTATCCCGTATCTCTGAGATTGACGCGCCAAAAGGCGATGACAAGCTCAGGGATTCGCCCTCAAAAGATCGGGGAATCCCTGAGATTGGCGTCGTGATGAGGAGACGCCCAGGGCAGGGATAGGGAGATGTTCTAGGCTGGTAAGAAAAAGCTTCTCAGACGGCGCGAGGGCTTCTGAGAGGTCCCGCCACTTTCTGGGAAGGCCTTCTCCTTCTCGCTACCAGCCTCTGTAACTTTTGAACGAGTAGAGATATCTCACTTTTCTCTTCGGATTTGAGGTTAGGCTGCTGAAATCTACCTAATAAAATTGGTTCCCCCCCCGCGCTCGCCGGCGACGGCCGTCGACCTCCGCCTCGAGGAAGCGTGGATCGGCGAGGGTAATTAGGGCTCGGGCCTGGCCGACGAGGCCCGCCGCGCTCTCTCCGACCACGGGGCACTTCTGTTCGCAGGACAGAGGAAGACAAAATGGCATACACCTCAGGCGATGCTTAAGAAAACTTAAATGTTCGGCCAGAGTCTCGATTATTCTTAATGTTTCAATGTAAATCCTAAGATTTGAATGGGAATTTGGTGTTTTTGTTCAAGTTCTGAGACTATGAATTTCTTAACCCATGATTTCTTAAGCATTTCGCAGGGTGTAAGCATAAACCGGTGGAGTTCCGCGCGGTTCTCTTGGACTCTTGGACCTGCGCCTGGACCCCCCCTCCCCGGCGCGCGGGGTTCATCAGGGCCACTGGCGCCGCCACGGGGGTCCAGCGTGTATGCCGTTTTTCTTCCTCTGTTCTGCGGAAGAGCGTGTTCTGCCGCTGCTGGCGGAAAACCGGGGGGGGTCACTACCGGTTCGAACCCCTCCCCCCTCCCCTTTGGAAAACCGGGGGGGGTCATTACCGGTTCGAACCCCTCCCCCCCCCCAGCTCATCATGAAAAGGGAGGGGGGGTCACTACCGGTTCGAACCCCCCCCCTCGAACTCGAAAACCGGGGGGGGGTCACTACCGATTCGAACCCCCCGCCCCCCCCCGGACGACCCAGCGGGACAGTGGTGGGGACAGTGGGACAGAGGTGGGGACGGTAGTGGTGGGGACAATGGTGAGGAGGGGGAACAGTGGGGACAGTGGGACAGTGGTGGGGACGGTGGTGGTGGGGACGGTGGTGGGGACAGTGGGAATGAGGTGGAAACAGTAGGACAGTGGAGGGTACAGTGGTGGTGGGGACAGTGGTGAAGGCGGTGGCGAGGACGGCGGTGGGACAATGGGACAGAGGTACAGCGGGGACAGTGGTGGGGACAGTGGGGACAGTGGTGGGAACAGTGGGACAGCTCAGTGGGACCGCGGAGGAGTCAGTGGGACAATGGGGACAGTGGGGATAGTCGGGCAGTGGTTGGGGCCGTGGAGAAAGTTAGGAGAGTGGAACCGTGGTGGGAACAGTGGTGGGGACAGTGGGGACAGTGCGACAGTGGTGGTGGCACTGGTGGGGACAGTAGGGGCGGTGGTGGAACCAGTGGGGACAGTGGTGGTGAGTGGTGCTGGGGACAACAGTGGGGGATGTGGTGAGGACGGTGGTAGGGACCGGGCGTCGTTTGCTGGCGGTGAGAGGGGGGGGTGCTTGGATGCTCATGGCGGTTCCTTAGCACATAGCTCAGATAGTTATGGTTGCTAGCGCCGTACGCTGCTTAGCTAACCTAGATGTAATGAGGATAATTAACCACCTTACGAAGTGGTTTCGCATGGAGTTTCCAACCTGGTTAGCTGCACGAGCTAACCTGTTTAGGGTGGTTGCGGTTAACTAGGTTAGCGAGGTTGCTAACTGTAGGATTCGGGATCAACCAAGTGGGATTTTGCATTGTATCCTATTGTTTTTTTTTTTTTTTTTTTCAAATGTTGCCCCCATCTGGCCCAGAATATGTCAAGTGTTCTGCGAAAACCTGCGTTGTTATAAGCGTACTTGTCGACATGGGGCAGGCAGACATAGCAAACGAGAGCTCAGTATTTGAAAAGGCTCAGCCCTCCATCCGTGAAGCTTCTGCACGTTTTCACCTTTTTTGGGAGGCGCTGGACGTCTCAAGCGAAGGCCCTATTTTTGCAAAAGGGAACCGCCCTCCCAAGAACAGGAGGATGAGATAGAGGAATGATAGGTTCAAGCTGTGCCCTTATCGATGTCACTCAGCCGTACGCTTCCCCTACCTGAGCCTACCTGGAACGAGAACCTCGCATGCCGTTCCCTCGGGAACAGTCCTAAACACGCACGGCTCGATGATGAGCCTTGTCTGGATCAAGGTGGGGGCATACTGGACTATACATCTTACGCTGATCTCATCACTGTCAAAGGCGTGCCATTGTGTTACGCACGTGTACACATGTTCTCCAACCTGAATGTGAAACTGAACCTTACCATATAATACTGCACCATCGGCTCCAAAGTATGCAACGACATCGTCCACCACAACAACCCTGCTCTGCACTCGGGCAGAGTTTGAAGTCTTGATTGGCATAAGGGGGCTCACACACATACCACAGGCGGCAACGGCATCTCTGAGTGTTTGTTTAGCTTCCAGCTGGTCCACCAATCCATCACCAACTATAGGCTCACGTAACTTGTACAATTGGTGAACCGTTGTCTCTTCAAGAAGTCCCAACTCGTAACCTCGCGTATTGTGGCGATCATCTGCGTATCGTTTGAACAGCTTGTGTTTTCTTTCCATGAGGTGCGTAGAAAGCAAACACCCATGGCGGAGCAGTTGTGACGGCAAGTGGAGCGTAGTGTGGGTCTTTGGAAGCCACACCTCGAGTTCGTAGGCTGCTTTCAAGTTCACCAGATGCGTCGAAATTGCAGCTCCGAGAGCTGCAGCGCTGACAACTCCTGTATTGACCAAAGAGAGGAGACGAGAAACAATGCACAACGAAATGCCGCTTGCCACTTCTTTCTCGCAGAAGCCTGCAGGTCCGACTACAGAGACCAAGAATTTTTCAATGACAGGGGCGCACGACTGTTGCTCACTGGCGTTCCCACTCGGAAGGAAGTCATTCCTTTTCGAGCACACGTTGGCGCCTGATGCATAGCCTTTGGGCCACACCCAATGAGAGAGGTACTCGCTGAACTCTTTACCACCCAATCGATATGGCGCCAGGCGGGTAAACAATGCTCTTGCCTCCACAGTAAACACACCGCCTTGGAAGTAAGTGTGTAACCAATCCCACGCCCATACATCTGCTAAGTTGACGTCGAGGTCGCGGTCCTGGAGTACACCAGTGGGGCAATACAGAAATCCGAATAGCACTTGCTTGTTATCAAGCTCCTGCTTGTCTCCTGCCTCTGCCAATTGCTTCAGGCGCATC